ACATTGTCGTCCGTGCCAAGGTGGAGCATCTAGAGCAGTGATGGCGAACCTTTTTGAGCCCGAGTGCCCAAAACTGCAACACAAACCAACTTTTTTATTTCAAAGTGCCAACACTGCAATTAACCACTTGCCTACCTGGACGCACTGACAGACGGCACTGATCGGTGGCACTGCTGGGCATCATTGATGGGTGGCACTGATGGGCAGCACTGATGGGCGACACTGCTGGGCACCGACAGGTGGCACTGCTGGGCAGCGCTGACAGGCGACACTGCTGGGCACTGATGGGTGACACTGCTGGGCACTGATGGATGACACTGCTGGACACTGCTGGGCATCATTGATGGGTGGCACTGATGGGCAGCACTGATGGGCAACACTGCTGGGCAGCACTGACAGGTGGCACTGCTGGGCAGCACTGACAGGTGACACTGCTGGGCAGCACTGACAGGCGAGACTGCTGGGCACTGATGGGTGACACTGCTGGGCACTGATGGATGGCACTGCTGGGCATCATTGATGGGCGGCACTGATGGGCAGCACTGATGGGCAAAACTGCTGGCCACTGACATGTGGCACTGCTGGGCAGCACTGACAGGTGGCACTGCTGGGCAGCACTGACAGGCGACACTGCTGGGCACTGATGGGTGACACTGCTGGGCACTGATGGATGGCACTGCTGGGCATCATTGATGGGTGGCACTGATGGGCAGCACTGATGGGCGATACTGCTGGGCACTGACATGTGGCACTGCTGGGCAGCACTGACAGGTGGCACTGCTGGGCAGCACTGACAGGCGACACTGCTGGGCACTGATGGATGGCACTGCTGGGCATCATTGATGGGTGGCACTGATGGGCGACACTGCTGAGCACTGACAGGTGACACTGCTGGGCACTGATGGATGACACTGCAAGCAGTTAATCTCACCTCTGGCAGCGTCGGTGTGGCTTCCAGCCCAGCAGCTCATTCCCATTCATGTTGAACACGTTGCCCCTGGCCCCGGAGCAGTGTGGGAGCCTCTTCCTCTTTTCCACGCCCATCCCCGGCTACATCACCCCTGGTGCCAGAGCCGCATTGGAGCCGTTTCCTCTCGTCCACGCCCACCCTGGCCCCAGAGACATGTGGGAAATGTAGTTTGATGGGGGTCCAGTGTGGACGAGATCTGGATGGCCGGTCCATGCGCGCTCATCATCATCTTCTTCCTGGCGTGCCCACTGAGATGGCTCTGCGTGCCAGCTCTGGCACGCGTGCCATAGGTTCGCCATCACTGATCTAGAGAAAGGTGAGAAGTGTAACTCTTTCTTTTTCAGGAAACTCCACTCAGGACACACACCCCTGTCGGAGCTGCGCGACAAGACTGGAACACTCGAGAAGGGGAAGGAGGCCGTGATGGAAGTGGTCAGCGACTACTACACCGACCTCTACTCCCCCAAAGAAACAAACACGGAAGCGGCCGACAGATTCTTGTCAGGTATCTCTAACGCTATTGATCCTGCAGGTTTGTCGGCCACCAACGCCCCCTTGACGTTGGAGGAGCTGCACTCTGCCGCTAAATCCTTTAGGCGGGGCAGGACCCCGGGCTGCGACGGTCTCCCAGCAGAGCTCTATGTAGCGCTGTGGGACCTCGTGGGCCCGGACCTGCTCGAGCTGTACGAGGAGATGGTGGTGGAGGGCAGGATGCCTCCTTCGTTGTTGAGGGAGGGGATGATCACGATCCTGTACAAGCGTAAGGGGGAGAGATGTGACTTGAAAAATTGGCATCCCATCTCTCTCCTGAACGTGGACTACAAGATCCTCGCCAAAGTCATGGCGAACAGGCTGAAGGCTGTCATTGGACAGATCATCCACCCGGATCAGACTTGCGGCATTCCTGGCCGCAGGATTGCGGACAGCCTAGCGCTTGTCCGGGACACGGTCCAATACACCAAGGACCGCCGTGTGCACGCGGCCCTGGTCAGTCTTGATCAGGAAAAGGCCTTTGACCGTGTCTCCCATGGGTTTATGTGCAGAGCCCTGCGCAGGTTTGGTCTCGGGGAAATGTTTTGTTTGTACGTTGACATTATGTATAATGATATTTGCAGTTCCGTGCAGGTGAACGGCTGGAAAACTGACCCCTTCCCGGTCCTCTCCGGGGTCAGACAAGGCTGCCCTCTTTCACCTCTGCTTTTTGTTTGCTGTATAGAGCTCTTCACCGAATGCATCAGCCGGAATCCAGAGATCGGGGGAATCACCGCACCGGGACCAGACAGACGGGAAGTGAAGTGCTCGCTCTACATGGACGACGTGACGGTGTTCTGTGCCAACCAGCGCTCCATCGACCTGCTCGTCCAGACCTGCGAGGACTTAGGCCAAGCTTCGGGGGCAAAAGTCAACTGCGGGAAGTCGGAAGTCATGCTCTTCGGAAAGTGGTTCCTGCCTTCTTCTGCATCCATGCCCTTTGGCATCAAGACAGACTTCATGAAAATTCTGGGAGTTTGGTTTGGTGCCGAGGGCACAGCCCTGAAGTCTTGGGAGGAGAGACTGGCTAAAATGCGTCAGAAATTTGGACTTTGGAGCCTCAGAGACCTCACCATCGAAGGGAAGACACTGGTACTCCGCAGCGAGATTCTCCCTGTGTTGCAGTACCTCGCCCAGGCCTGGCCCCCACGGGTCAACACTTGTAAGGCCATCACCAGGGCGGCGGTGTTTCACTTCATCTGGGGCTCCAAGATGGACAGAGTGAAGTGGGCAGTCATGTTCAAGGAACCCCTCAAGGGCGGTAAGGGCGTGCCCGACATCGCCACCCAACTGAGGGTGTTCTTTGCTTGCAACTGCATCCGCAGAACTTTGCCCAAAAGGATTATGGACTCTGGCGGGAACGCAATGTCTCGCTTCTTCCTGTTGCCTCTCTGGAGGTCCCTCGGATGGGACAATTGGGACAGTTCCATCCCCTACAACTGGGACGCCCCTTGGTACTACTTGGATACCTTCAAGTTCATCAAGGAGCAGGGGCTGCAGGGAGTCAAGCCTGACTTGTGGAAACCAAAGACCATTTACAAGCTCATCAGAGCAAGCGACATTTTGGAGTCGGTTCCAGGCCTGCCTTCAGACACCTGCAAGGTGGTCTGGAGGAATGTTTCTTCAAACATTCTCACCAACAGGCACAAAGACCTGGCATGGATGGCAATCCAAGGGGGGTTGCCTCTCAGGACATTTATGCATGCCAGGAACCTGAGCAGATACAGACACTGCCCCTTCTGCATCATCCATGAGGAAACGTCTCACCACGTTTTCTGGGAGTGCTCATTTGCTCAGGCCCTGTTGGGGGCCCTGGAACCTGAACTCAAAGACTTTGTACCACAGACAGCCATCACTCACTTTGGGGTGTTGAATGGACTGTTCTGTGGAACTTTTTCTCTGGAGGACATTGACGGCGCCTGGCGGGTGCTGTGTTGCTTTAAGGACGCTTTATGGTGCGCCAGGAAGCGCCTCATCCACCAGCGGGAGAGGATGTCCATTGAGGACTGTCGCAGACTGATCCTCAGTCTGCTCAGAGACTATACCTTGATGGACTTTAAGGAGGAAGAGGACGTCTGAAAATCTCCCCTTCCCCCTACTCCCCCTTTCGTGTCTTTGTCCCTTCAATAAAGCTTCGGGCCTGTGTTTTCCCCTTTTTTCCCCTCCCCCCCCCACACACCCGATGCTTATTGTAGATTGTAAACTCCGGCTTTCGTTTTTGCATGACTTAGTAATGTTAGAAAAATGTACTGTGTATCAGGATGCTATGGTTTCGGGGTAAGCGGCGTTATGCATGACGTGTTGGTCTGGGGATTCATCCTCCACGCACATCACGTCAAGCATCATACCGCTGAGCGAATGTATTTATTTCTGAATGTATTTATCGTATGCTTGGAACTGTATTGCAATGTGGTGCGCTGCGTCGCAGTACAGGGTGAGATGTACCCCGATTACAAGTATCATGTTGTTTTTGATGCTTCTGTAATAAAAGTATCTTTTCAATCAAAAAAAAAAAATCTTGCTGGGCTTTAAAGTGGGCAGCCAGCAACTGAGTGTTTTCCTGTTGTGCAGCTACAGCCTGTGCCAGGTCCTGCTGCTGCTGAGTTATTGCCTGCTCATGGCGACGGCTAGCCTCCACGGTGGCTTGGTGCTTTGATGTCCTCCTCCATGTCTTTTCCTGCTGCTTGCAGTGCCTGAGCTGACTTGACATGCCATAGGTACACTGTCTTTTTAAAAATGTCAGTTTCAGTTTTAAACGGCTTTTGCAGCTGCAATTCACTGCATCCACTTGTGATATTCAAACAGCATAAAGAAAACATAAAGAGACATAAAGTTCACAGATGGGATTTACCCCAAGGTTAGCCCAGTCCAACTCTGGCCAACTCTGGCAGCTCCCAGTACACATGCAGCACTCCAACAGGTCTCTCTCAAAACTCCTACTCCCCACCCCTGATATTCAGAGCTTCCTGTTTTATGTGCTGATCCCTAGAGGCTGCTTAAACCCCCAGGAACTGGAGTCCCCGTAGTCAGGAATGGAGGTTCTTTTACACCTGAATGTCACTCCGAACCTCCAGAATTCTGAGTTCCCAAAATACGTCTCTTCTAATAGAGAGATAAGTGCGAGTCAGTCCTCTCCTTTACATGACTACCCTCAGAATACCTCACCCATAACGGGTGAGACCCCTGAGTACACACACCTTTTTTTTTTTTCCCTTAAAGGGACCATAACCCGAATATTGGTGCCACATAGCACCCCTCCAGGACCCATCTCTGACATCCTGTACATATTCCCCCCACCGGAGTTGTTGGAGGCACCATTTGACATCAGACAATGCACTCGCCATCCCTAGTGTCCTGTACATTACATACAGTGATTTGTACACAAATTGTCTAATGTATGGAGGTATGTCTAGTTATAGCATACCATGTAAAAAAAAATCCCAAAAAACCCAGATACTAGAATTTGAAAAGAGCGTTTAGTTACTTAGTAAGTATTTACCTGCATCCCAATGACTGCATAGATGAAAAACAGCATCACAATAAGTAGGGCTACATATGGAAGTGCCTGAGGAAAAATATAATACAAATGGGTATCTCATTTCAAGAGTATTAAACCGTCAAAGATTACTATAGACATTATATAGTGGTTGGATAATCCAGTTCAAAAAATATACATCTTAAAATGACTGTCATAATATCACCTGAGTCAATGCACTCAGCAGCATACAGTATCTGAAGCTATACTTATACAAGAGGAACAAAACATATCAGTGGAAAACATTGCAGACTTCTAGCCCCAAAATAATCAGTGAGCGGTGACTGCTAGAGATCTAGGAGCCTTTGTACAATCCTACCAAAGTAATCAGGATTGCACTACGACTATCTGTGGATACTAGAGATGAGCGAATTATTCAAAAATTCGATTCGGCTGATTCGCCGAATTTGCGGGAGAAATTCGATTCGATGCAAATTTATTCGCCGCAAATTTAACTTATTTAAAGGGTTTCTAGGCTTCAGAGAGCCTTTATATTAGTGCAGAACACTGTACCTTTAATTTAAATGCCCTTGGAGTCTGCTGGGGAAGAGAAATAATACTGTCAGTCAGTATGACATGCAGATGAGTGCCGTCGATCTTAGAATCACCGCACACTTCACTCATTTGGGCAGTCACGGGGCACGACGAAGAAGAAGAAGAAGAAGAAGAAGAAGAAAAGAATGAAAAAAGAAGAATGAAAAGAAGAAGAAGAATGAAAAAAGAAGAAGAAGAAGAAATGAAAAAAGAAGAAAGAAGAAGAAGAAGAATGAAAAGAAGAAGAAGAAGAATGAAAAAGAAGAAGAAGAAGAATGAAAGAAGAATGAAAAGAAGAAGAAGAATAATGAAAAGAAGAAGAATGAAAAGAAAAAGAAGAATGAAAAGAAGAATGAAAAGAAGAAGAAGAAGAATGAAAAGAAGAAGAAGAATGAAAATGAAAAGAAGAATGAAAAGAAGAAGAAAAAGAAGAAGAATGAAAAGAAGAAGAAGAAGAAGAAAAGAAGAATGAAAAGAAGAAAGAATGAAAAGAAGAAGAAGAATAATGAAAAGAAGAATGAAAAGAAGTAAAAGAAGAAATGAAAAGAAGAAGAAGAAGAATGAAAAGAAGAATGAAAAGAAGAATTAAAAGAAGAATGAGAAGAATGAAAAGAAGAATGAAAAGAAGAAGAAGAAGAATGAAAAGAAGAAGAGAAGAATGAAAAGAAGAATGAAAAGAAGAAGAAGAAGAATGAAAAGAAGAAGAAGAAGAATGAAAAGAAGAATGAAAAAAGAAGAAGAAAAAGATGAAGAAGAAGAAGAAGAAGAAGAAGAAGAAGAAAGAATGAAAAAAGAAGAAGAAGAATGAAAAGAAGAGAAAGAAGATGAATGAAAAAAGAATGAAAAAAGAATTAAAAGAAGAATGAGAAGAATGAAAAGAAGAATGAAAAGAAGAAGAAGAAGAAGAATGAAAAAAAGAAGAAGAAGAATGAAAAGAAGAATGAATGAAAAGAAGAAGAATGAAGAAGAAGAAAGAAGAAGAATGAAGAAGAAGAATGAAAAGAAGAAGAAGAAGAATGAAAAGAAGAAGAAGAAGAAGAAGAAGAATGAAAAGAAGAAGAAGAATGAAAAGAAGAATGAAAAGAAGAAGAAAAGAAAGAAGAATGAAAAGAAGAAGAAGAAGAATGAAAAGAAGAAGAAGAAGAATGAAAAGAAATGAGAAGAATGAGAAGAAGAATGAAAAGAAGAATGAGAAGAATGAAAAGAAGAATGAAAAAGAAGAAGAAGAAGAAGAAAAGAAGAAGAAGAAGAAGAAGAAGAATGAAAAGAAGAATGAAAAGAAGAAGAAGAAGAAGAATGAAAAGAAGAGGAAGAAGAATGAAAAGAAGAGAAGAAGAAGAAGAATGAAGAAGAAGAAGAAGAAGAATGAAAAGAAGAAGAAGAAGAATGAAAAGAAGAATGAAAAGAAGAAGAAGAAGAATGAAAAGAAGAAGAAGAAGAATGAAAAGAAGAATGAAAAGAAGAAGAAGAAGAAGAATGAAAAGAAGAAGAATGAAAAGAAGAAGAATTCCAGTACAGCAAAAAGTGTATCTGCAGAGAGCTCCGCTATTTCTGACAGTTCTCTGACAGTTCTGACAGTTCATTTACAGCGGTTGAAACATTGTATCTATTTATTTCCGAATAAAAACATCTGTATCCTAAATGGAAACAAATAGATACAATGTTTCAATCGCTGTAAATGAACTGTCAGAACTGTCAGAGAACTGTCAGAAATAGCGGAGCTCTCTGCAGTGACACTTTTGCCGGCTGATCGGGGAAAATTCGATTCGTGCATCCGAAGTTTGCTAAAATTCGGATTCGATGCGAATCGAATTTTTCCTAATATTCGAAACGAATTCCACTTCGCCAAGTTCGATTCGCTCATCTCTAGTGGATACCTAAAATGGGATGTGTTTTACACTCTATAGCAGCCTTTTATTTCTATTGAAGTTTTGAAAATAAGTACAAAACATAGCCTTGGGGCACCCCCCAGCTCATAGAACAGAACACCACAAAACAAAGTTAAAATAACAATCTTCTGCTCAGGTCTATTCCCTCGCATGTGAACAGCATGAATATCTGGATGACATTACCCCCTAGCAGTGATGGATTTAGGTTTTGTGCTGCCCTAGGCAACAAAAAAATTGTCTGCCCCCACGGACACCGACCAACACCACCCCCTCCTTCCCCTCCCGCGGAGAGAGCCTGGCATTGACCAATAACTCCCCTGCCCCCCACCGGGAAAGCCTTTGACTACACCCCCTCACCACTCATCTTCACATCTCCGGACATCCTCGGGAACAAGAGTCAGGCTCTAAATACACCATCAAACAGCCCACAGCCTCTCTTGGATCCCACCTGGTTCCCATGGCGCACGTGTCCCTTCTTTCATCCCTTCTTCTGGGGGAAGGTGCTACCTCACGAAAAATGCCGCCCTAGGCAAGTGCCTTGTTTGCCTTGTAGTACATACACCCCTGCCCCCCTAGCACATGCATCGAACCAGGAGCAAAGTTATAAATTATGATTAGACAATCCCAGCAGATTATGCAATAAACTAAAAAAATACCACACGCACAGCAGTAGTGCAGAATTATATTTTAGCTCACACCAATCACCCACTATTAGACGGGGATTGCTTCCCAGTAACTTAGTTACGTAATTACATGAAGTTACATAGTTGGTAAAGTTCAATAAAGACACCAGTCACTCCAGTTCAACCTTTGTTAGTGTCACATAACATCAATGTTGTGGGGTGATGAGGGCACATAGGAAACAATTGTTTTCTATGTGCCCTAACAGAGGCTTGTATTTATCCAGTGCAGACAAAGTGTGAACAAACCCTAATTCAAGAATGATTTTAGGAGCATCTTAATCTGATTTCGTGTACAATTGAATATAAGTGTATAAGCATGATGCATTTGCCCAAAGCCTGACAAAGGCCTCAAAAATAGTTATAATCATCCAGTAGGTAAGGATAACATATGGAATTAAATCATTCTGGTGATACTATACTTTGAATCAAAAATGTATCTTTTGCAGCGTGCATTCTAAGATATTGCATCAGTTGCAATTTTTGATACTTAAATCATATCGTAAACATAGTGTGGGGAATTTACTAAAACTGGACATCTTAGTGATCAGGTTTCTTTATTTTATTGGGCTTACTTCATTTAGCAGTATTTTTTTGGGGGCAACATGTAAGCAAAATTCCCTAAAATGAAAATCTACTAAGAAATGATGATTTCAGTAATGTGAACTATGTTCAGGTTTAATGCACTAATATTTTCATTAAAAAGTCTTTAGTTACCTGGAAGGATTTTATAAAGGTCCAGAGAAGAGTCCTGACTCCCTCTCCTCGACTCAGTAACTTTACCAAACGCAGAACACGGAACAGCCGGAAGAAAGTAATTGAAATTCGTGAAGACTCATCAGCACCTGGGGTTGCAGGGATACCCGGGGTCTAGAGTGGTATAATTAAAAAGAACTGTTATTAAAATATTTAATGCAGCATAACCAGTACTCCCAAAAAGGAAGAGCATTTGAACTCTGACACCATTACAAAGGAAAGTATGATTTCAAATCTTCTAGTGCAGACTTGTTTGGGTAATTGTTTGCTTACATTTTGCACATTATTATATACAGTATCCTTCTGTTCTGTCCTACAAAGTTTGATACCCCACAACATAAGTGTCATTCTTTAGATGCCATGTGACCATGGATGCTCTACACTGCATAGTTTTTCCTCATTTCTCCTAGCTGTCAGTAACACAAATCATACTGCACAATTTAATGATAATAGTAAAAATTAGAAGGTTTGAAGGACTTGCAAAATGTGAATGGTTGCTGAATTAGCAATATACAGCTGTTTTACAATATATAATTATTTACTACAAATGCATATAATGGACATTCTGTAGTGGAAATAGAAATTCTGCTACACCCGACGTGTAAAGATGAACTATTAGTTCAATAAGGTTAATAAAACAGTTTTTGTTTTCTGCGTTCCTCCTGTAACATAGTTTATTATATGTTATTTCTACTAGCAAATGCGTTAATTTTTCACATTTATGCAGGCGGGAACTACACAATCCAAACGTGAGCAACAGAATATATTGGATAAGCTAGATAATTTAGAAAACCGCTCTCGCAGGAACAACATGCGCGTTGTAGGCCTCCCAGAATCCTACAACTCAGGTTTATTATCTGATATCTGCTCTAAATGCGTTCCTGCAGCATTGGGCATCACAACACCTTGCCAGGTCGAAAGGGCTCATCGCTTAGGAGCGCCCTCAAACGACAGACGCACGCCGCTCTCAACAATCGTCAAATATCTCAATTACGCGGACCGGGTAGCTATACTCAATTCGTTTTGCATCTCACAGTCCCTGCCGCTAGATGGTCATAAGTTATTACTATTTGCTGACTACTCGCAAGAAGTCTCTCACAAAAGACAAGCATTCCAACAAATTTGTGCTACTCTATTTCAAAAAGGGGTCAAATTCACCCTCGCTTACTCTGCTACACTTCGCTTCACTACGCCTGCAGGGGAACCTAAATCATTCACACACCCAGAGGAAAGCCCTTCAGTACTTTCAAAACAATCTATCAGAGGTCATGGGCCCTCCACAGCCACAGCATTCACCACGAGACCCCGGCCCACGAGACCAGCGTAGTCCACGAAAAGAACCACCAAAACGCCAATGCACCAACCATACCTCGGCAAAACAAAGATCTTACTGACAATCGTCGCTTACCTCATCCAAATACCCTCTTACTGATATTTCAAACCTTATGCTACAGCATTTCACTGTCTCATATTGTTCTTAACCATCTGAGATGTTCAGATATTTTTCCAAGTTCTCAGGTTCTCGCTTTTTTTCTATTTAAAAAAAGTGATGTCTGTGTAATGCCTTACTATATTCTTTGGCTGCTGCGCTGCTGTTGATAATAGGGCGAGCTGGCCCATCCTTCAATGGTGGTACATGCTACTATCGGGGGCCATCCTCTCTTCGCACTTGGCTATGCAACCCCACGGTGCAGGCTTCACACCCTATCATTTCCGGTAACGCAGGCCAAAGATAGGAGACAACATGTGGAATAATGTGAAGTTCATGATGCCTATGCAGGCTATTGTTACTTTTATTTTTACAATAGACCCCTGTTGGGTCATCTTGATATCTTTATTTGTCCCCCCCTTCTTTCTTTCTCTTTCCCATCTTTTCACTATTCTCCCCTTACCCAGAGACCCCACAATGCCCTACTCTCTTGCAATGCAACGAGAAAACATGGATCGCAGTGATGAGTCTGTGGTACTGCTAACACATACAGAAGATTTTACGTCTAGTCTGAGCACCCTCATATTCACACTCGCATGACTTGTGTAATTTAATTTTAAGGGTCTGAGATCTCCCCACAAACGCATGGCTATCCTTCCCCATCTAAAACGTATGAAAACAGATATCGCGTTTCTTCAAGAAACTCACTTAAAACAAACAGACTTTACACGCATGAAAAAATTGTGGGTGGGACAAGTGCTGGGATCACCCTCGCCCATTGGCAAAGCGGAGTAATTATCCTCATACATAAATGTCTTACCCCTGACATTTTAACGGTAGCTACAGATGAGGAGGGCCGTTACATCACTGCACACATTAAAATAGACTCCTCCCCACTGGTATTGGTTAACATATACGTCCCGAACTCCACACCCAAGCCATTCTTCCAAGATCTCTCCTCTTATCAAACTTTATACACCTTCCATTAGTGTTGGAGGGGACTTTAACCAATACATGAACATACAGGAAGATAAATCAAAACCTACTATCCCAAATTTCCCATTCCTCCCCCCCCCCCCCAACACACACGCTATTGAACAGCTTCACAGAAGCATTACAACTCACTGACATTTGGCGTCTGTCTCATCCAGAAGGAAGAGAATATACTTTCTTTTCCTCCATTCACCATACTCTGTCCAGGATCGATTATTTCTTCGTCAACAACCTTTTATTACAAAACATCAAAGATTCTGATATACACGACATAGCGATCTCCGACCACTCCCTGATTTCTATTTCCATACAACACGCACAGCATAACCAACACTCACGTACATGGCGTTTCCCATCCTTCCTGGCAAAAAATAGGGACTTACTCCAGGTATTAAATACTGCCTGGACTGAGTTCTGTGACACAAATGCAGAGCACCAAACTAACCCCAATCTCTTTTGGTACACAGGCAATGTGGTTCTACAAGGTAGAATCATAGCGTTTACATTCACCTACAAGAAAAACCTTCTCCGAAATTACACAGAAGCAAGCCTCTGTCTAAGACAGGCACAAAAAGACTTGGCAGGCCTCAACTCCCATGAAAATAGGAAAACATGGTCAAAGGCCAAAAAACACTTTGATACATGGGCAGCAGCTCAGGAAGCCACACACCAATCCCATAGTGACCTGCAATTTCATAAATTCGGCAACAAGCCGGGCAAGCTGTTAGCACGATTATGTAGAAAACCATTAACACCTACCCTCTTTACATCTCTGAGGGATACACAGGGAACATTAAAAAGCGACCCTTTAGACATTATTTCCATTTTAGAAAATTACTATCAAACTCTATACGGCTCAGATCCTATAGACACTACTAAGGCCACTTCCTTCCTAGACATTATTTTGTTGCCACGGTTAGACCCAACCGCACTACAAGCTCTGAATGCTCCCATCACTCAGGTGGATATATCTCTAGCCATTAATTCACTTACGATTGGTAAAGCCCCAGGGCCAGATGGCTATACAGCCGAATTTTACAAACACATGGCTGAAACTCTTTCCCCTACCCTACAAGCGGTGTTCCAATCCATTCAGGGGGAGGAGACACCTTCCCTCCAGATTTCAAGCCCACATTAAATTGATTGCCAAAAAAGACAAAGACCCAACTGTAGTAGCTTTTGGGGGACTATTTATTAAAAAAATTATTTTATTCCAAACTTGGGAATCCCAGCTGACTGTTAGGGGTTAACATTCTAGAGTGAATTTCAAGGGATATTTCAAGAGGTTATCACAAAAACCAGTGAGTGGAAGAAACTTGTTTGAAAGACAATGAGACACACACTTCTATTGAAATTCCTACAGGTGATCAAAGTCCCAGAAAAGACAATGGGGGATCTGATGTTGATTAGTCTAAGACCTGGCAGATATATGTTTCCTAAACCAATGGCATGGTCTATGGGAAGCTAGGAGATACTTCAATGGCAGGAAACTTAATTATAGGTAGTCAAACACTACTATTTGGACTTCTGCAGGTGAACATATACGAGGTATGGAAGTGACAATAGGGTAACCAAACCTGATTGTCTGAGAGCTCACACAAAACCTTGGAAGTGTGGATTCCCAGAGGAGACTTCTTGAAATATGACAATACACTATTATCCACTGAGGTAAAAATATAACTGGCTGTTTACACTAGCTCCCACACAATCAACAGGTAAACAGAGGGTCTTTCCTATTCATGGGAACTTCATTCCTTAAACCAAAAAGGTGAAGCTTAGGTCATCTAAGCTAAGAACTTGATATCTACCTACAGAGACATTATCAAAAGGCATATTACTAACAATTTTTATCAAGGGAAAATATGTTTGAGAAGGTTAGGTGTTGCATACCACTCAATTAAGTGTGAAATGATGAAGAATAAGATGATTCGTGAATTGGTGTCAATTATACATTTCCAAAAGAAATCAAATGTTTCAAAACAGTTAAATATCAGGGAAGTGAAGAACCAAATGTATGTACATCTTTCTATGGTTCTCATTCAAGAGTAATATCAACGATACTTGAATAGGATACATATATATTTGATACCTAAAGACATGTTATTTCAATCAAAGGATGAATCATCATTACAACACAAATTGTTTTGTAATCCCTGTTTTGTAAATTGTATTTTTCCTCTCTTTACTATTATCTATATCTATTGTTTGATCATAGAAATTAGCCTGTTATATTTTTGATTATATGTACAAGTATGCAGTTATCACCAGTATTTTGCGTTTGTATTAATATATATATAAATTTTGTACATAAATAAATTTATTTATTTATTTACTGAAAAGGCAATTTTTGTGTATATGGTACGAAATCATACTGGCTAAAAGAACTCAAGGTATATTATTAAGTGGTGATCAAATTATTAAGGTGTCCAAATTATTGGTTCATTAAATATTTGCCGTATTTTAACAGCTGGAGGCACTGCGATATTTTGTTTAAGGGAGAAGACACCGCCCTACATATTTAGAATAAATTATTACATAAACCACCACATGACGGAACCTGGATCATATCGGCCAATCTCGACGCAAAACTCTCGTCTAGCAACTATACTACCAATTTTTGTCCATCTATCACAAGCAGGGTTTGTGCAGGGTCATTCGGCGGCTTCAAATATTCGCAAGGTGATAG